AATACTTTAAGGGAAGGAGTAGGAAGAGGCAAGAGACTTGTGTGAGTTTTCTTAGTAATCAGGAAACAATTTTGTACATGTGGATGCTATTTATGGGATGTGGGTGGTGCTCCATGCTCATTGGCCAGGGTCCCTATCAAAAAAAAAAAAAAAATGGCTGGAGTTGTGGTTCAGTTGCTTGCCTCACACATGTGAGGCACTGGGTTTAATCCTCAGCACCACATAAAAATAAATAAATAAAATAAAAATATTGTATCCATGTACAACTAAAAAAAATTTAAAAATTAAAAAATTACAATTGGGGGCTGGAATTATGGCTCAGTGGTAGAATACTTGCCTAGCAAGGCCCTGGGTATGATACTCAGCACCACATAAAAATAAGTAAAATAAAGATATTGTGTCCAACTACAAAAAAATAAATATATATATATTTTTAAATTACATTTGGAGATGATGCCCTGACCCCAAAAAGAGTAGTTTCAGATTCTTTCTTTTGTTGCACAGGCCCTTATATAGGTTAAAGGAGATCATGCAAAAAAAAAAAAAAAAAAACTCTTTCTATCAATATTTCCTTCTCAGTGACCAAGGATATGGATATTTGGGGTTGGTTGGTTTGTTTGCAGTGCTGGGAATTGAACCCAGGGCCTTTCACATACTAAGCAAGTGCTCTACCACTGATCTACATCCCTAGCACCACTAAGAATATGGTTGTTAATCTAAATGATAAAAAAAACCCAGAAATATAAGAGCTAAAGAGGCCTGACATAAAATTTTGAAATAAAGGAGGTTTGTGTGCTTACCAAGTAGACTGGGACAAAGCAACAGGATTCAAAATGGTATAATGACAGATATATAGACCAACAAAATAGGGCAGAGTCCAGAAGTAAACCTTCCCCATATGGTCAAATGATTTTCCACAAGGGTACCCAAGATAAGTCAATGTGGAAACAACACTTTTCTCAACAAATGGGGCTGGGAAAACTAGATGTCCACATGCAAAAGAATGAAGTGGTACCCTTACCTCACAAAAATTAACACAAAAATTGCCAGATACGGTGGTGCACACCTATAATCCCAGCAGCTTGGGAGGCTGAGGAAGGAGGATCACAACTTCAAAGCCCGTTTCAGCAAAAGTGAGGCTTTAAGCAACTCAGTGAGATCCTGTCTCTTAGTAAAATACAAAATAGGACTGGGGATGTGGCTCAGTGGTCGAGTGCCCCTGAGTCCAATCCCTGGTAAATTAACAGAAAATGAGTCAATAATCTAAAAGTAGGAGCTAAAACTATAAAACTCTTAGAAGAAAATAGGGTAAAATTTTATGATATTAGACTTGGCAATAATTTTTCTAATATGATACCAAAATCATAGGCAGCAAAAGATAACTTGAAATTAATCAAAATTTAAAATGTTGTGCACCAAAGGACATAATCAACACAATGAAAAGGCAACCTATGAAAATATCTGATATATCTGATAAAGGATTAATATCCAGAAGATATAAAGAACCGCTACTACTCAACAACTAAAAGACAATACAAAGATGGACAAAGGACTTTAAAGAGACATTTCTCCAAAGAAGGTATACAAATTATCAATAGCATATAAATGTCATTAATCTTTATAGAAAAAATGACTGATAAGCTAGGTATGGTGGCACCCTTCTGTAGTCCCAGCACTCTGAAGGCTGAGGCAGGAGGATCAACTGGAGCCCAAGAGTTCAAGGTCAGCCTGGAAAACAGTAAGAGTCAATCTACAAAAAGAAGAAAGAAACAGGAGAAAAAGGAAAAATAAAATAACTGATCATTAGGGAAATACAAATTAAAATTACAGTGAGATAGCACTTCACTTCTATTAGGATGGCTATTATACAAAACAATAATTAAAAAATTGAAAAAAAAACTGTTAGCAAAGACATGGAAAAATTGAACCCTGTGCATTGATGGTGGAATGTATAATGTATAATGGTGCAGCCACTGTGGAAAACAGTATGCCAATACCTCAAAATAAACTTAGAATTACCATATGATCCAGCAACTGCACCTCTATGTATAAACTTCAAAGAACTGAAAGCAAGAACCTAAACAGATATACATACAAGAATGTTTATCTTAGCATAATTGCAATAGCCAGAGGTGAAAATAACCCAAATACCCATTGGCAGATGCATGAATAAACAAATGTAGTATATACATACAATTATAGATTATTCAGCATTTTAAATTTTTTTTTAAGTGAGAGAGAGAGAGAGAATTTTTAATATTTATTTTTTAGTTCTCGGTGGACACAACATCTTTTGTATGTGGTGCTGAGGATCGAACCCGGGCCGCATGCATGCCAGGCGAGCGCGCTACCGCTTGAGCCACATCCCCAGCCCTATTCAGCATTTTAAAAGGAATGAAATTCTGATGTGTGGATGAGTGTTGATTAAATAAGTCACATACCACATAATTTTTTATGATTCCATTTACATAGGACCAAAATAGTCAAATTTATAAAGAAGAAGAAAAATGGTTACCAGTTAGATATTAAGAGGGGAGAAAAATTAGGTGTTATTACTTAAATGCTGCAGAATTTGTTTAGGGTGATAAAAAATATTTTGGAAATACTGTGCTGATGGTTGTATATCACTGAGAATGTGCTTAGTACCACTAAATTATACATCTAAAGAGGACTAAAATAGTAAATTTTAAGTTATGTATATTTTCTGACAACGAAAAGAAAAAAGAAACAAATTGTTCATTGTTTTAAAAAAATATGAGGGAAAGTTTAAAAATATAGAAAAATTTAAAAGATAAACAACTCACAGAAGTAAATCACTTCATGTGATAATACCTTTAATCCTCACTTGTCTGAGATTAGTTTATAGGAGGACGTCTTTCTGCAGAGGAAGTGACTTGAGTACCCAAGTATCTGTCTTCACACCCACCCCTGGAGTTATTGTCCCCCCTCCCCACCCAGCCAACCACCCAAATTGGAGCCCCTGGAGCCTGCTCTTCTCTAGGCTACACAGTCCTCACCCTGCCAGTCTTGCTCAGAGGTATGGGATCCCACTTCCTTACTCCAAGACCCCCAGATGTGGGGATCCACAGGGCCACAGATCAGGACTCCACCCCCACTAATACAGCTGACCTCATGGCACCACAGACTGTTGGCTCCTTTGTTTTCACAGTCCTTTGGATCTGTCCAGAAAGCAAGGTCAAAACATCAGAAGACCTTGGTTGCAATTAAATAACTAGGAAGCCAGTGCCAGGAAAGACAAGGGTTGCAGCCACAGCTCAAAAACAATGAGGAGAAACCTAAGTCAATGTATTGTACAAATAACAAAAGGAAATTTACCTTAGAACAATGTTTCAGAAAAAAAATCATTCTGTAATGTCTGAACTGAGAAATAGGTGTAAAAGATCTTTCCAAAGGTTCTTGGAGAAGATCTGACCCCATGTCTTTGGGAAAGAAAGAATTTAAAATATACATTTTCCTGTTTTCCTAAGAAAGAATAATTTCAAACTCTTTGAAAGAGACAATATAGATGGCTTACAATAGCTCTCACTGGCCAAAGAGTGGTAATTTGAGTAAGAGAGAATAGCAATTGTTACCTATTTGAAGAAGCTAAAGTCCATAATTAATTATTCTCAAATTTTAAGAATCATAAAAGGTCCTTAAATGTAGAAGAATGGAGAGCATAACAAAAAGCTGATAGCTGCAGGGAACCATGATGCATGCCAGTAATCCCAGTGGCTGGGGAGGCTGAGGCAGGAGGATAACCAATTCAAAGCCCACCTCAATAAAAGTAAGGTGCTAACTCAGTGAGACCCAGTCTCTAAATAAAATACAAAATAGGTCTGGGGATGTGGCTCAGTGGTCAAGTATCCCCGAGTTTAACCTCCAGTACCTGCTCCCCCCAAGAGGATGTTGCTTTTTAATTTTACAGGACTGTGGTCTGATGGAAGTACTATCCTTGATTCCCAATGTGTGGGGCAAGAAGAGAGATTCACCTTTACCTCAATAGGTGAAGAAATAATGGATGAGACCTTAATGGCTAAAACTGCCAGAAGAGCCAGGATCTACAAAGTGTGTGTGTGTGTGTGTGTGTGTGTGTGTGTGTGTGTGTGTGTGTGTGAGAGAGAGAGGGGGGGGGGAGGTACACAGAGTACCTGCTGAATTAGTTACAGGGTAGAAAGAAGCTTCTACTCCAAGAAATTGAAGAAAGTGGTGTGGTCATCCTGGAGGAGCTCAGGGTGGGGTCCAGCTCTTGACTCTTTTGACTAATTACAGAGAAGGCTAATAGGTTATGACCATCAAATCAGTTCAAACCGGGGTGGGGGGTGCACCTTGTGTCCAGTGTTGTTTGGACAAAGGGACATGGAGGGAGCCCTCTAGGCTCAAGGAAAGGTGTCATAGACAACTATCAGAGCCCTAGAGTAAGAAAGTCTCTGATGCTCTACTTTTGGCCTCAGCCCAAGCCTATGCTGGAACCACCTCTCTTTGCCTACACTCACTTCTCCTGTGGGGATGGCACCTCCCCAGCACCAGCAGTGCACCCTCCAGCCTTCCCACCCCTCATCCCTGCGCCCATGCTCCTGGCGCTAGCTAGCATCCTGGAGTTCCTTACTCTCTACTTTATCCCTGACTGCCACACTGTCCCTAGTACTGACTCAGCCTGCGGACCCTCATCCTCAGCTCTGCAGGGAAGGGGTCCCCACAGCATTTTCCCCTCCCCCAAGATTGCGACAGGGCACAGCACCAGCAGCCGCGATAAAGTAAGTACCTATAGGGGAAGCGCCTTTCATTCTCATTAATAATAACCAGGTCCACTACAGGCACGTAAAGAAGATTCTAGAAGACTCCACCTTGCCTCTCCAGACTGGCCTACCACTTCTCACGATCCCGCTCCGAATCCTAAGGAGGACTCGGTATGGTGGGGCCCTTCCAAGAGGGTTAGGGGTCCGCAGGAGCTCGGGGCAGCAGGGGGAGAGGCGCCCACACCTGTGGTCTCCAAGGAGTTGGGGAGTAGGCGGGGCGCCGTGCGGAGGACAGAGGGAAGACGAATAGGCCAGAGGGATGCAAAGCCACAACCCAGAGGCAGAGACACAGAGACTGAGACACCTTCAGAGACAGGGGAAGAAACACAAAGCGAGACAGGGCGAGGTCGGTGTAGCGGCGGCGCACTGAGGCGGCGGCCCTCCGGGACCAGCCCCCACCCGGCCCTACTAGCGTCACCTCGCCCACCACTGAGCGGGTCTTCTGCGTGCAACGGGCTCCCAGTCCGGCCCCGCCCCCTCCTGTCGCCCTGGGGCTGTTTAACCCTTGAGTGCCAGTCCCCAGCGCCGCGGCAGAGCCCCTCCAGCAGCGGCTGGTGGGCGCTGGTGCTCGGCTTCCTGCCGCCCCGCGGCTGCGCGCTGCGCCGGGAGCTGACCGTGGTACTGAGCGCGCGACTCGGCTAGCACACCGCGCGGGTGCTGGGACCGCCGCGCCCTGCGACACTCCGGGGCCCCAGCGGTAAGTCGCCGGGATCCTGAGAGTCTGCATCGGTCGGTCCCCGTCCTACATATGTGGATTTGGGGGTGGAGGATAATTTGGTAAATTTTGTACATTCTCTACAGCGATGTGCGGAGGACCAAGGTGGGCACTCCCCTCCACCCTGTGGTGCTTAACGCGGATGGTGCAGGGCCTGGGGTCTGAGGGTGGTGACCCTTTTAGGTTCGGGAATGAAAGAAATTCTCTTTCTGCGGGTGCATGTGCAAGGGAAGAACGGATAAGGTTGTAGAGGCCCATCTTCTCTGGATCCGAGCAGATGAGGAACGCGCAGGGGCTCCCTCAGAGGTGGGCTGGGACCTTCGCCCCCTCAAAAGGTCCTTTGTTTCCCCAACGTGGGGGTGGGGTGCCTTGGTGATGTTTTTACCGAGGATTCTATTTCTGCTTTATTCCCCACCCTACCCCCACCCCAGAAAACAAGAGCTTTCCCTTCTCACAATGGCCTTCACTCCATCCATCCAATGACAAGGCAGCCTATTACAGAAATAAACTACTGCCCCATAGCCTCCACCCATACCCCAATTTTCAACGAGTCCCTGGGCAGCGCTCCCTTCCTAGGTCTGCTCTTTCTTATTACCATACACCTGTCTTTGTATTTCACTGCTGTGACTTTCCTGGATACTGGGGGCGGTACAGGATAAAGCATAGCAAATACCAAAACTACTAGCCAAACATTTTTCATCTTAAAATGCTTCTGCTGCATGTGTGTTCCTCCGAGATTTTTATTTTGTTCCATGAAACCAAGCACCCAACCACTGTCATATTTAAAAAAGAAAAAAGAAAGAAAGGAAAGAAATGCACAGCATTACCCTCTCAAAGGCGAAAGAATATCCTAGTAAGCTGAGCTGAAGTTAGACATCATGCAGTAAATTGGACAGCAGAATGACTTAGGGTGCTCATTTTGCAGTAAATCCACATCTTTGTGTGTGCTGTATGTCTGGTACAGATATGGGAATCTCTGCCATCATCTTTTCTCTGCTGAGCTCTGGTCTGGCTCCTAACACACCTCCTTGGCTTCTTTCTTGCTCAACTTTCCATTTTTTACCTGTAACTGAAGTCGTCTGTAAAAACTGAAAATTGGCCCTGTCACTTGCTCTTGATGGGTGGTTCCTCATGACTCAACGGATTAAGAGGAAGACCGTTCAGGGGCTGGGGATGTGGTTCAAGTGGTAACGTGCTCACCTAGCATGCATGAGGCACTGGGTTCATTCTCAGCACCACATAAACAACAACAACAACAACAAAAATAAATAAATAAAGATATTGTGTCCACCTAGAACTAAAAAATAAATATTAAAAAAAAGAGCAAGATCTTTCTTCAAATCATAAACCAGGTGTGGTCTGTCTTGCCAGTCTCCTGGCCTTATTCCACCGAGTTGCTGTTCTGGTCACTTTTAGATCCTTAAATAGACTCCTTTCTTTGTTTGTTGGGGCCTTTTTGCAGTATGTTTCCTCTGACTAGAATATGCTTTTCCACATCTTTTGCCTGGTTATCTTCTGCCATCTTCTTGGTGTTGGTGTAAATATCCCATCCCTGAAACAGAATTGTTTAAATAAATACACTATGTTGTTTCTGTTATCATAGATTTTTTGCAAATTTGTCTTAGAGATGAGAGACCTATCCTAGGGATTTGGTGTCACCAAGACTTATCTTAGAAAATGATACACATAAACTGTTTTTTATAGAATTAAAAATTACACACAAATTTCAGACCCTGAATTTTATTTAGGAAACTTAGATGTAAAATATGGTTAAGGTATCATAAACATATAAAATATTTCACTTAAATAATAGCTCACAGTCTACTAGAGCTGGAGTTCTAGGCCTTAAAGAATGTCAGTCTTGTTGGGGAACAAGACGAAGCACTAGAATGAATAATAAGTGGTTGCTGAGTAGTGCAGACTGGAAAGGGAGGGACAACGTGCTTTCCCTTTTGGAGAAAGAGATGTGGCACATGGTGGGGGAGGACCTGTCATGTTTCCTGCTAAGCTTCCACTAACAGGTCTTTAGCCACAGGGTTACAAAGCAGAGTGTGCATTTTTGCAACTGAGAATCTAGACACATTTGGCCTTTGCCCTCAGGCAGTGACAGTGCCAGCATCTGGATGTCTACATAGATCCCAGTCTGCCCCTGAGAATTGTCATGGGAGCTGACTGCTCAGACAGCCTCTAGCCAGGGAGTTTTCACCCACATAATATGCAGGCTACACTTTCCAAAGAGACAGGCTTGATAAAATATTTTAATGCAGAAACTGACCATAGTGAATACATAATAGAGTCCATGTGATGTTTCTGTACTGCTGTTTCCAATTCATTGTTCTGTACCTCTGTACTTGTTGTGCTATTTATGTGCAGATTGCTAAGAAAACTCAAAAGTAGCATTGTCAATATTAGTCACATTGAGCCCAGTTATTGATAGTCAATGACAGCTATTTTAAGGATTATTTTCCAAGTGCAGAATAGAGTGAAATTTCCAACAGTTCATCATTTAAAATCAGTTAATTGTTCTGAGAACTGAGAAACCGGTAGTTTATTTATAGAGATCTCCATCAAACCATTTTAATTCTTGCAGTTGCAGAATTCTGCACACAGTGAAATAATTTTCATGGTAGCCTGGATGAAGTTATTTCCAAGGGTGTGGTAAACAAAGGATTTTTCTAAAACATAGAAAAATGATAAGTAAAACAAAGATCTTGGAATGAGTATCTCCAAAATTTCTTGCCATCAAAGTTATATTACCTTAAATCATAATTTTTCTAAATTTCTGTGAGCTACCATTGTTACCTGGAATCTTCACTTTCATTGTGTTTTCCAAAACACAATGTCCTCATGAGAACACATTTATTTTTCTACTTTAGATTTCTCACAAAAGAGAATCTGAACTGTTGGTTCTTAGAACATCAGGTTCAATCCCAGTTCTGTCACTTACCACGTATGTGAACTTAGCCAATCTATTGATTTTTTTGAACCTGAATTTATTCTTTATAAAATGAGGGTTTTAATTTTTAATAGTATGTCCTTTCTAAGGTGAAAGACCAAGCTCTGTGCCTGATGAAGTGAATGTGACCAAGACTCAAGTGTGGGTCATCTAACACCAGAGTAAGCACTGTGTGATGTGCAGCAAAGCCTATCAGAGCTGGGGGAGGCCTTATTTAGGCTGCAAAAGAATGTGTGAAGGGTTTGCAGCTGCAGGGTAAGAAAGCGTTGGGCATGCACCATCTGGCAGCAGGCAGAAAAGCCAAAATGACAGCTTGAGGCATGGTTCTGGTATCCAGGTTGCCGCCACCAAAGGCCAAACTGCAGCTGATGACCAGCCTGAGTTTTGCAGTGCTCCTGGGCATGATGCCTACTCTTTCTCTCATCCTCCAGCCAAAAGTCCTAGGTGCCCCTCAGAGGGGAGGAAGCACTACCCACAGGTGGGAGCAGGTGAAGGCCTATCATCTTGTCCCTGCGAGCCTTGGCAGCATACAGCTTTGCCCAATGAGTTAGAAGACAACCCCTCTGGTCACCCATCACTCATGCAGAAGCATTTTAGGGCTTCAAAGGTCAAGGAGTGCTGTCCAATAGGCACTCTACAACTTCTTTGGGAGGGGGTGTGCAGGTATATAGGCTCCATTGGCCATGTGTATTCTGCCTGCTGCAGTTCCCCTCACAAACTGGGAACTGGGGCAGGTGAATGCAGAGCCACCCCTGGAGCTGTCCTCATGGAAAGTCAAAGAAGCCAGTCACAAGCTTTCTCTTCCAGCATCTCTTTGGCCAGACCGACAATGGACAACCCTCAGGTCACTCACCACCAAGGAAAGTGGATAAGGGGGCAGTGGTAGGGAGAGTGTGTTTCAGTGTTTCAGGTGAAAGCAGAAGCCATGATGGTGTGGGAGACAAGAACTCAGGAGGTTCTCAGATTGTGCTCTTTGGTTTTGCACCCCACTTGCTGGAGCTTGGGGAGTCTTCAAACTTACCCCCAAGAGCAGCATGTGAAAACTAGATCCTTGTTCCTCTCCCACAAGCCAGCTCCTGGCACAGGTCCCTTTCCCAACCTCACTCTGTTCCTGCCCTACCTCCTTCCTTGACTTTCCCCACCTTGTTCCATCCCATTCTCTGGGCATGAATTCGGGCCCTCAGTATTCATGACTTCCTGCCAGATTCTCTTTCTCCATGTGGTTGCTGAATCCTGGTGTTTCTTTCTTTGGAAGACCTAATAACTTCACCCTCACAATGATATCTACTATAGTCCCCATCCTCAGCTCACTTGAACTTTTTCTTGACAGTCATCTCTCCTCATTTATTGTATCCTCCGTCCAGATCCACCCACTCATTAGAAGATCATTGTGGCACTTCATTGACCTCAGGATAAGGCCAGATACCCCAGCTGTGCCAGGACAAGCAAGTCTTGAGCACTCTTGCTACCTTACCCCACTTCCACCCCCAGGGCAGACCCCAGTGCCTTTCCCATGGAACTCAGCCTGGACATGAGAAACCTTCTCTGGATGACACTACAGACACCAATATCTGTCAGTAAGTGTGCATAAAAGGTGATACTGCCTATCATACTCTGTGTTTCCCAGTTGACCTTCACCAGGTTCCACACTGCCTCCTACTGTGAGGTTCTCTCTCCCCTCTGTCTTAGAGCTCTGTAGGCTGTGTCTTGCCCCATGATCTCTATGTAGATTGAGTCTTGCCTCCACTGAAAGGTTTCTGGTCCTGGAGGGGTAGCTGTCTCAGCCCTGGGAGGCAGGCCGGTGCATCTCTCTTAATATGATGAAGGAGGCAGCTTACTTGATTGGATCCTCTGCTCCATCCACTCTGAAAGGCAGGGATCTGGTGAGGGTGAACTATTGTTGATAATTCAAGCCTAGAAATGGGAGTCTAAATTGACCAGATGAGCTGAAAAGGTGTTTAAGGGAGTTGAGGGCTCAGGAATGCAGCATGCACCAGGTCACAGGTCAGCAGCTGTCATTTTGACTCCTACAGTGTGCCTTTAGGCATGTGACTTAACTGCTCAGGGCATCAGTTGTCTATGAAAACAAGAGTGGTGCATGAGGATGAGGCTGTTCCATTCCCCTCTCCCCCACCACCATGGAGGACCCACTGGGACCCAGGCCTCTGCTGTTGAGCAAGTCATGTGACAGGGGTGGGCAGAGGTCTTTGATACCTTCCAGTCTCTGATACTGAATACCACCTGCTTTCCTCCACAGTCGCCGGGGTCACTGGAAGCATGGAGCTGAAGAGGGGAAAGACCTTCATCAAATCCAGCTTGCAGATTTCCCATGAGAAACCCCCAGACCCTGCAGCCACTGCTGTAACCAGGGAGGATGCAGGTCCCTGGTCAGTCTCGTTGGGAGGGCAGCAGAGACCGCATTGTGAGAAGGGTTCTGAAGCCAGCTCCAGCATCCAAGGGTATGATCGGTGCCTCAACAAAGGGGCACAGACTGACCCTGAAGGAGGTCAAGCCACCTTCAAATTGGTACGGAAGAGCAAGACTCATGAGAGTGTTCCAGGGGCCAGCAAGGCAGCAACCACCCCAGGACAGCTGGTGGGTAGCGCAAGCTTCCCAGGGCCCTCTGGCAGCCAGCGCATGATTGACTACCGCCACTTTGTGCCCCAGATGCCCTTTGTGCCAGCTGTGGCCAAGAGCATCCCAAGGAAGAGGATTTCCCTGAAACGGCCCAAGAAGTGCTTCCGGAACCTATTCCACATCCGCAGAAACAAGACAGAGAACTTGGCCTCACTGGCAGCCAAAGGGAAGAGCCTGTCCTCCCCGGGGGACCCATCGGATGCTGCAAGGCAGAGAGGCAAAACCTTCTTTTCCCAGGGCGAGGGGCTGGGGCTGGACGACGTGTGCCAGGACCTGTCTGACAGTGAGTTCCTGCCTGACTCACCCTTCGACCTCTGCAGTGCCCTGTGCGAGGATGTAGCCTCCCTGAAGAGCTTTGACTCACTCACAGGCTGCGGGGAGATCTTTGCAGATGAGAGCTCGTTGCCACCCCTGGAGCTGAGTGAAGGCCCCGAGAGCCCAGGTCGGGTGTCCCAAGCCTTGGAAAGCAAGGATCCCAGGGGCCCTTCCCAAGACAGTGTGGAACAGCTGGCATCACCTGCCCAGAATGAGGTGTTGGATTTCACCAAGTTCTGGGACAGTGTGAATCGCTCTGTGAGGCAGCAGCAGCGTGCCCTGCTAGGCCCGTGGCTGGTGGGTCCTCAGGGAACAAACACAGACCAACCCAGGCTGGATGTAACTGGGTTGGCAGAGTTGCCCCTGTTTCCCTGCAGGGGCCCCCCAAGTGGCTCCAAAGCCAGCTCTGTAGACACAGGCACCCCCAAAAGTGAGCAGCCAGAATCTGTGTCTACGAGTGATGAGGGTTATTATGACTCCTTCTCCCCCGGCCTTGAGGAGGATAAGAAAGAGGCCCCAAGCCCAGGAACACCTGCAGCTGCCTTCCCTAGGGACAGTTACAGTGGGGATGCCCTTTATGAGCTCTTCTATGACCCCAGTGAGGCTCCTGTCGGCCCAAGCCTGGACGATGACTTGTGTGTGTCTGAGAGTCTGTCGGGACCAGCCTTGGGGACACCACTGTCCATGTGTAGCTTCCATGTGGGGGCTGAGGAGAACCTGGCCCCAGCACCAGGCCCTGACTTGCTTAGCCAAGGCTTCCTGCAAAGCTCTTGGAAGGGCAAGGAGTGCCTGCTAAAGCTCTGTGACACAGAGCTCGCTATCACCATGGGCATTGTCAACTGGCTTCGCCGAGCTCCACCTGCCCCAGCCCCTGCCCCTGGGGAGCCTGCAACCTCATCTGGCCCACAGAGGGCCCCTAGAGGACCGGCAGAGAAGCTAGAGGGCAGCGGGGAACAGGCCTCCGATGCAGGCAGGGCCACAGTGTGCTCAGCACCTAGCAGACAGCAGCTGTGGGCTCACCCAGGCACTAAAGGCCTGCGTGTCAAAGAGAGTAGTGTCCCAGAGGAGACTGTAAGGGGGACTGGCACCCCCTCCAAGAACTCCTCTCTAGAAGAAGAGACACAAGGCTACCCTAATGGCTTGATCTCCTCTGTGGGGTCTTCAGCCTCTACAAGAGACATTTCCAGTAAAGGCAAGGCTCCCAGCTCCACGGCCTGGCCTGGCTCACAGAAGGAACCCAGGCCACCTGAGAACCTGAGGAATTCTCAAGGGCCATGGAGGCCAGGTCCTGGGGGAAGTGCTCTGGATGCAGGGCCCACCTTGGCTGGCTATGTGGCCCGCATGGCAGCCTTGCAGATCCACCCAGACAGCCAGCCTCCAAGGCAGGACATAGGCAGTGGACCCTTCAGGCCGTCTCCAGCCTGGGGCCCTGACCTTCTGCAGCAGAAACAGACCAGCAGTTCTCCCAATGGGGTAGCTGTCTGTGGCCTTCCCATCCAGAACAGCCCACAGGACCAGAGATGTCCAGGCCTCATCCTGAACCTGAGCCAGCTCAAATTGGAACCCACCAGACTGGGTGCCCAGACCTGTGCCTCCGTGGAGGGCCAGTCACTACAGCTCAGTCCCAGGGCTGTGGCACAGGCAGGAGGACACAGGGGTCAGCTGGACTCTGAATCTCCCTCAGGCCCTACTGCTGGGCGGAACCCCCGGGGATATCCCCCAGAAATCCTGGGCCTCACTTTGAACAGTCAGCGGTAGGTGGGCTCCTCTGCAAGTGTCCTCACATGCCGCTACGGTCTCCTGACCCAAGAAGGCCTCCCTTGAGGCTGGTTGGAAGTTGGGGCTTCCAGGCAAACCATGACGGAGCCCCATCTGTAAAACAAGCTCACCCTCCTCAGGAGCTGCATCTTCACAGTCATATTCAGGAGAACCAAGGAAACCAAATTTCCACCTTTTGTCTGAAATTGGAGGACTGTGTTGGGGGGAGGGGGCAGGACTCAATCAAATGGGGGGAGGGGTGGATTTTCATGCGGAGGCATTCGTGCCTGAATCCAAAGTCAAGGACAATTCAAAACTGTGAACACCTAGCTGCTCCTCATGCAGTATGTCAGAGAGGAGTTCAGACTTGGGACCAATGGGGGAAAAAAAATGGTCCACACTGTAAAATGAGAGGAGGCTAAGAGAGCCTATGTTTCTGCATGGGTATGAGAGAAGGGTGAGGTTCAAGGCCTGGAGCAGGAAACAGATGGGGGTGAGTGAGCATCAAAAGGCTTGTGCTAGGGACTATGAAGCCAAACCAGTCCCATCCCAGCAAGAGCCCTGAATCAGCCAAGGTCCTGCATTATTATGCAACACTGCCAGGGCTAGCCAAAACTTGCCAACCCTTGCTGATGGGTGTTACTGGATTTTCTGTGACAAATTAACCTGTGTGAGTAATGATTTCCTTCAACTTGCACTCTCCAAGCCACGGAGAGCCAAATGCTCTTTGAGAAGAAGCCCATTTTTTTTTCTTCCCAAATCTGTAATTCTACATTTTAGTGGCAAAGGCCTTTCTCTCTGCCCCCTCCACACTCTCAGCACCCCCATTCCCTCTTTCAGTGGGTTGTGCCCCCACTCCAAAGGCCACAGCACAAAAACATTCAGAACCATGAAGGGAGAAGACAGCTGGTGTCCCCAGGAAGGGCAGTTGTCCCTTCTGGCCCAGTGTCAGGGAAGCAGGTGCAAGGACAGACGACCCACTTGCTTTCTACAGGATTAACTTCTATCTCAGCCAAAACACTGCAGTCAGAGGCAAAGGATGGGGCACCACAGGCAGCTGTGAAATTTGTTTCCAGGGGAAAGTGGGTAGATCAGATTGTAGACAAACTGTAAGAGAAATCACCTTTCATGAATAGCTTCCATGGGTAGCGAAGAGAGATGCACCAGTCCCAACTGTGGGAAGAAGACAGAGGAGGAATTCCATACAAAGACTGCAGTCCCATAAGTTAGAACAGAGATGGTGCCTCTCCTGAATGCCTGACATTTGATTTCAGTCTAGAATTTCTGTGGCCTTCATTCAGCAGCTCACTGAGACATGCTGTGTGCAGGATGTAGGCTGGATACTGCAGGTTTAAAAAGGTACAGAACTGCTCTTGATTGGGCCCATCCAGATCTGGGACAAGGGGGAGGTTTAAGGCCACCTCTCCTGCACAGCCACATCTGAATCGTCCTTCCAGGCCCCACACACATGATCACAACGTTAATGAGCCTGGCTGTGAGCAGGTTTATGTGGGGATCAGTCTGCCCGAACCCTGCATCATCCTAAAAATGCAATTCTTATCCTTTTCAGATCTCAACACAGATGCAGAGTCCCGTGTGACTTGCCCATGGACACATAACAGATAGCGTGTGGGGTTGGTCAGGTTACCATGCCACTCCTGGTTCCAAAAGCCCTGCTCTTTGGCAGGCTCTGGAATCTCTTGCTGAATCCTTACAGCAAAAGCCCACCTCAGAGCCTTCCCCCATCTTTCCTCCAGGCCGTTGATGTCTGGGCACCCAAGGGTGCCAGCCACATGTCTTTCTGGAAGCAGGCTGAGACCCCAGGGAGAGTCTACCCTCCCTCAATCATAGCCTTTGTATTGTATCTGGCTTTGTATTGTATCTGACAGAGTGAGTGCTCAGTAAATATGTGTTGAAAGAATGAAGCGTCAAAATGTTGAATATGCTTTTCTAATTTCTTGTTGACCATGATCCGTGTAGGGAGAGAAACAGAGTAAGTTTAAACATGACTTTGCTTGAGAGCCAAATGCCTTTCTCAAGGCAGGGGACAGTGATTCCTCATCAGGACTTGAGTCATAGTCACTTGTGGTGACTGGGAAGAACCTAAGAGCATTTGAAAGGACAGGAACCAAGGCCATGCAGCCCAGAAAGGGGTCCTAGAATTAGCAGGGATGGGGAACCAAAGGGCACCCAAGGACCCAAAGCCATGGCAAGGTTTGGTCTGCAGTGACCCAGCAGCAGAGCTAAGGAAACACAGAACCAGGGCCATGCCTACCTGGGAGGAACCAAAAGGCCCCATAGCTCTGCACCTGGGAAGGGGTTTAAACAACCCCAGCTCTCCAGAGACTCTTATTCAGCCATCTCAGGCAGGGGTCCCCAAAGTGGCCCATGAAGCAACTTGCTGGGAGGATGGAAGAGGTTAGTCTGACCTCACTTTCAGGTGATTTCTCTCCCCACACCCCACTCAGGCTGCCCTCCCCGGTAAGAGAAGTCCAGGAAGGGCCAGCCTAGCCAGACTCCACAGGCCTTAGGGTGACCCATTGAGAAAAAAAGAGGGACTTTGGAGTCAGCTAAGGTGTCTGATCTTGTGCTGGGAATGGAAGAGGCCTGGGTGGGCATTTTCAGAACTCTCTGGTCATTTCTTTCATTCTTTCTTTTTTTCTCCTCCTCCTCCTCCTCCTCCTCCTCCCCCTCCTCCTCCCCCTCTCTATCTCTATATCTATCTCTCTGTCTCTCTCTCTTTCCTGAAACTAAACCAAGGGCACTCTATCACTGAGCTATACCCCCATATCTCTCTCTCTCTCTCTCTCTCTCTCTCTCTCTCTCTCTCTCTCTCTCTTGTTTTCACTTTTCACTTTTATTTATTTTGAGATAGAGTCTCAGTAAGTGCCAAGGATGGCCGAGGCTGGTCTTGAAATTGTGATCTTCCTGCCTCGGGCTCTGGAGTTGCTGGGATCACAGGTGTGTGAGACCGCACCGGCCTTCTGATCATTTCTAACCATCTTTGTTCACATACAGCTGTAGAAGTTACCACAGGTTTTCTCTCTGTGAAATAAAAACTGGAGAAATAACGCCCATCTCTCCCACAGAGCCTGAGTGACTTGTCTAGGGTTGCACATTAGGGGTAGCAAGGGACGGCCAGGGTGCACTGGGAAGCTGGGACAGGCTGGGTGAGGCTGGAATGGCAGTGGGAGTGTAGCAGGCCACATTGAGATGAAGCTAGAGAGTGGGAAGACTAGAAAAGAAGGGGTGAGGCGAGATCCTGCAAGCTGCCAGGGAGTGTGCTGCTTACCCTCCCTGGTTTTCTATTTATTTTCTATATTGGGAATAAATACATGGGATGAAAAGTCAAAAGGCACAGAAGGGAAAACTGTAAGTGAAACTCAATTTTCCATCTTTCCTTCCTTTGCCCTCTGTTGTTACAAAATTAATTCACATTTATTGCAACCAGGTCAGGCAAAAGGCACTCTCTTCTTCCCTCCTTCTCAAATTCTGGTGTGGGTCCTCAGAACTTTTCTGGCCCATGACATAAATGCATGTGACCTTTGATCTTTTCTTTCTTTTTTTTTCTGCCCAGGACTTCCTCCTCGGGCTTGGAAACCTCCCCCTATTCCTCTGAACAACTGCAGGGCCGTCTCATAGGTGACAGTTACTTGAAACTCTCCCCAGTTGTTGAACATTAGAGTTGTTTCCCATATTTGTTATTATAAACGAAGCTTTATTCACTCTTTATTCTCTAAAGTCCTCTTCAAAATTGTGAAAACAGAACTCATCGTAACAGTGAAAGTAGGTATGTTTATAATGAACAGAGCTTTCTGTTCTCACGACTCCGCTCCACCGCCAACTGCCCATCCTGACATTAATGCCTGAGCTCCACATTCACATTCAAACTCCATGGTCGAGGGGGGAGTGATTTCTATTGTTATTGCTGTTATTATTACAGGTAAAGACCTTAGAAATCCTCATCCTATCCTTCAGTAAGAAAAAGTTGGACAAACTGAATATCATTGACTTCCCTTGACCTATCAGAGAACTGAGATCACAGGGCCACCCCTGACCCCGCCACCCCCAGATCCAAGCATATATCCAGAGAAGTACTGGGGCCAACATCTGTAGCCTGGAAGGAAGTCTAGAGATACCTAGAACTGGCAGGAACACTTGCATAGAAATTTTGACATGTTTTTGCAGACTGAGTGGGAAGCTGGGGCCTGGGTGATAAAGGGAACCAAAAGTTCGAGAGGATTTTCTTCCAGGAACCAGTCCACATTTTTTAGAATGAGGATCACAGAAAGATCCTCATGGCCCTGATGGGGATGGTAGAAGGGAGGGCATTGGGAAAACTGTGACCCCCTTGTCCCTAACAAAAGCCTCCCTTGAAGAAGAGGGGCTTCCCAGGGCTATGCTGAAACCTCAAGGCTGAAGGAAAGAGCCCATCCCTCCAGACCTCTCTAGCCTTCCTGTCCCACCTGAGGAAAATCAACAGCTCAAGCAATACTCAAAAAGGGTCAAGGCTCCACAAAAATGGACTGGAAACACCGAAAAGGGACCAGACTCAAATTTTAATCCCACCCCTCCCCACCAGGCACAGCAACTAAAAGAACGATGACTGAGTTGAAGGTCAGAGGGGGACAGTCCCCCACCATGCAGTGTAAGAACACTGCCACCACACCAACAAGGCTCCCATGATGAGAACCGTAGGTTATAGCTAAAAGGTCTACAAAAACATACTCTGAGCACAGAACAAAGGAAAGAAAAAGAAAGAAAGGGAAAAATAAGCTCACTTGAGTCATTGGAAGCCTCTAGTATCTGTGGCTATGACGTGGTGACAGTCTAGTTGCCTGCAGATTAACATACGTCCTCGGGGCTGGGGATGTGGCTCAAGCGGTAACGCGCTCGCCTGGCATGCGTGCGGCCCGGGTTCGATCCTCAGCACCACATACCAACAAAGATGTTGTGTCCGCTGAAAACTAAAAAATAAATGTTAAAAACAAAAAACAAAAAACATACGTCCTTACATTGGGAGCTTTTGATAGGGCTGGGGGTCTGGCTTAGTGGTAGAGCCAAGTTGAGAGGTCCAGGGTTCTATCTCTACCATCGCATAATAATAATAATAACAACAACCACCACCATAATAACCTATTGGACTCTGTACCTGTTATCCTATATAAATGCTTGGCTTTGGACAGCAATTTACAAAGCAATGTTTCAAAGGACAAAATTACAGCAGTTTCATGATCTTAATTGGCTTTAGTTTTGACTCTACAGGCAACACTTCATTCTATAAGATAGTGTGAGTATTCCAATGATTTGAACAGAAGAATTTGGTTTTATCCTAGGTTAAGTGGAGAAAGGCTGAGAATGCAGAAATGAAGAACAGAAAGAGGATTGGGCATTTCAAAATGACTTTCCTCATAAGGCAGAGACAGGTAGACAGAATAATAGGAAAACAATAGATTGGTTAATATCAGGTTACTTCAGGTTACCGTTCTCTGTGTGTATGAAAGGATTAGAGAGAGAGAGAGCTTCATTATTAGGTCCAGTGAAACTAACCTGTTTGGAAAATTCAAGAGTTTTCTTTCTTTCCTGATTTCTCTAAAGGTTGGGTAACAGCTTAGTTTCCATTTGGTGTCAGGCAACTTTAGCATGAGTCACTCCATTTTGATTTTTAGTCTGGTCTGTTGGAGCTTAGTACAAAAGAGTGGCCTCCTGTGATGTTTATTTAACACTGCTACAGGCAAAAGAAAAAAAAATGTGTGAAGAGACAAAGCAATCATCAGAACCAGATTCATATATGACAAAGATAAATGAATTATCAGACAGGGAGTATAAAATAACTAAGATTTATACATTAGGGGCACTAATTGAAAAAGTAGACAACATGTAAGAATAGGTGATTAATGTAAGCTAACAAAGGTCTAAGGGAAAAAATCAAAAGAAAATGTTAGATTAAAATCATCTCATAAATGAGGAATAATTGTGATAAACTCATCAGTAGACTCAAAGTAGTAAAGAATCAGTAAGTTGTGTTTTAAAATACCTTGAGATAAATGACAATGAAAACACAACATACCAAAATTTCTGGGAGCAAAACAAGCAATGTGAATAAAGAAATACACAGCCATGATGCATTCATTAAAAAAGAAGAGGGGCTGGGGATGTGGCTCAAGCGGTAACGTGCTCGCCTAGCATGCTCAGGGTGCTGGGTTTGATCCTCAGCACTATATAAAAAATACAGTAAAGATGCTGTGTCCACCAAAAACTAAAAAATAAATATTAAAATTCTCTCTTTCTCTCTTAAAAAAGAAGAAGAAGAAGAAGAAATTTCAAATCAATAACCCAACTTTACACCTTAAGAATCTGGAAAAAAGAGAAAGCTAACCCAAAGCTAGCATAAAGATAGAAATAATAATGATTAGAGTGGAGATAAATAAAAATAGATAATAGAAAAATAAAAAAGAAAAATCAACAAAATCAAAAGTTGGTATTTTGAAAAGATTGACTAAGTTGACAAGCCTTTAACTAGATTGAGAACAAAAAAGGAAAGACTCAACTTGTAAATGAAAGTAGAAACATTAATACCAGTTTTACAGATATAAAAAGGATTACAAGAGCATGCTATGAAGGCTTGTGTGCCAACAAATTGAATGAGCTACGTGAAATGGACAAATTTCTAGAACACACATCCACCCAAATTAATCACAATAAAATATAAAATCTGAAAAGACCTATCATTATGAAGATTGGATCAGTAATTCTAAATCTCTCAACAACAACAAAAGCTCAGGACAAGATGGCTTTCCTGGTGAACTCCCCAAACTGATTTTTTGTCTCATTTTGTATAAGGCAGTACTGGAGATTGAACCTAGGGGTATTTCACCACTGAGCTATGCTCCCAATCCTTTTTATTTTTTATTTTGAGACAGGG